TGTAGCCAATTTCAGTGAGTATACAACTTCATTCGCTGACGTAAACAAGTTTTATTCTTGAAATTCGACCCCGTGCCTTAGTGTTCCCACAGTTCTTGACCGAGTGTTCACGTTTATTGAAACCTCGCATAAATCAAGAAATAAGTACGTGTACAAAGTGTACGAAAGCATTCCTTTATTTGACCTTATCATACGATCACAAACACAACTTTTTAAAATCTTTTTTGGGGTGGTCCTCGGGTAAGCGCCCACCCCCAATTTTTCCCGATTTTGTATGTTCAGGCCCCTGGGCGCGTGCCCGGGGTAATACGGTATACAGATTCAAGCCCAATGAAATGAAATAGAGCAATACTGTATTGTCTGATACCATATGGAAATGATGTAACACAATGTCAAAACATGGGCAATGATGTAACACAATGTTCAAATATGGGCAGTGATGTAACACAATGTACGAGTATGAGAAATGATGTAACACAATGTCCAAATATGGGCAATCATGTAACACAATGTCCAAATATTGACAAAGATGTAATATACTGTCCAAATATGGGAAATGATGTAAAGCACTGTCCAAATATTGGAAATGATGTAACACTATGTCCAAATATGGGCAATCAAGTGAATGCTAGAAAAAAAACATAACATTACCTTTTTGACAACATTCAATTTGTCAGGTGCATGGTCAAAGAGGGTGTCAAACGCATCACGTTCTGAAATACAAGTATTTAGTCAATAAATAACATATCTTGCCATATTTTCTTGCCATCCAAAATTTGTTTTGGAATAAACCAAATATACATCACAGCATTCTTAAACTAGAGAATATGTTTAAAGTGTGATGGTTTTCATGATATAGATATCGGTCCCATACGAACAGGATTGTTGATAACATCTATGAATTGTTAGAAGTGTATGGCAGATTGCAGAAAAATTAACGTGTTAATTAACCATCATCCTTTATACAGGTCCCTTATTTCCAAATTTTGAAATACACAAATGTTCTGTATTAATGCCATTAATTGTACTGAATATAATATAATTACGATACATTTTGTAAATGAAAAGAGAGCAGATATAACCAACCTACCCAGTGCTGCAGATATAATCCAGGCAGCAAAATTACAAATTCAAAAACACAAACAATCAACAAATGACTGAACGACACTGAACGTCATACTGAACGACACATACTAGTAAGTGTAAAAAAAATAACTGTATGAACTGCCTTAATGTTGTGAGAGAAATTTTCAGGAATTTAAATGTTATTTTTTCATTGGTATGGGCAACTGAAAATTGGTAAATTGGTGCTGCTATACAATTTGCTGAAACTTGATTTGTCAATTTGAGGATGTCTAGCACCACTTTTGAAACTGAGGTACTGTGGAATACTTTATTTTCGCTGGAATTAATTTTCGCTGAAAAGGCTTTTTGGGCATTTTGCTTGGAATTTATTTTCACTGATTTTTGATGAGTTTAATGTGAAATATAGGAAAAAAAATATATTCGCTGGATTTTATTTTCACGGAATCATCCCTTCAGCGAAAATAACGAAAATAAATTCCAAGCGAAAATAAAGTATTCCACAGTAGTTAAACTATAACTTGAATTATGAACCTTAACTGCATGTAGTTTGCCCCTCTTTCAAGGTAGAGTTCAATGATATAAGAAAATCTCAGTCATTATCAATTTTATTGTATTTTTGTCAATTTTATAAAACCTTTTTGTCAAAATATAAAAAAAATTGTAGCTTTTTAAAAATTCCAAATTATTTTTACCAGCTAGTTGTGTCCACCCTCAAAGACATACAGAGACAAAATTTCACAAGAATTCACTTCCAGTAAATAATACACACTATTACAAAAAGTTCCTGATTTTGTCTGAATTTTGTAATTGGAAACAGGAATTTCTGTTTAGTGAACACATTAATGTTTTATCAAAGTCACGCTAATTAACAAGGAAGGGATCAATGACAATGTATAGTCAAACTGTGTATAGCATAAACCTACTACAGATATTGGCCAACAGGACTCACACTAAAATTAAACTCTCCATAGATGAAGTAAAAACTGTAAATTCAGGGTTATTTTAAACATCATTATTTTGAATACAAGCATGTCATTCAAATAGTAACATTTAATCACCTTCCAATTTAACCATGACAAGTGGCCAAACAGGTGTTCACTGGTCACAACAGGCAGTTGGCCATAATATCAAGGTTATCACTGAAACAGGTTTGATGTTTTTAATTTGTACAAAATATTTAGTAATAGTGGTATGTAGTAAATGATACAATGACAGTGGCACAGCAAATACAAAACAAAAGAACATAGAACAATAAACAGTGACGATAAGACATAGTGTGGGATTCGACAAATGCAAAAGTATTTTGGAAATATGTCCCTGCTTATTAATGTGCTATACAAATTTGATGGCAGTTAATTTTGTTGAAGAATTTTAATGCAATATTCTCCTGTCAGAGATTGGCATTGAACAGTGAGCTATAGAAATAAATTCAAATCGTTTGATTTTTGCGACAGATATTCTGTCTGTGCCTTTCACATTGGGAAATCAACGGAAAATCACTTATTGATGTCCGCATACAAAAAACTGCGTAATTTGTGAAATCAGTCCAGAGTGCAGTCACTTTTGTTCAGATATCGCAAGAACAGCAACCAATGAGAACTTCTAGCAAGAAGCACTCTAATTGGTTGACTGTTGGCTGTTCGAAAGCGATTTGCATACTTAAGTAAATGGTCAGACAGAGTTAAAGGTATTGGTAATGTACAGAGGTGACTAGAAATTACAGCAAGTTTCAGAAGTATTGGGGCAGCCAATTTGCAAACTCGCTAGCGAATTGGCTAACTGCTTTGGTTTTGACTAAACAGTTGGCTTTTGAATCTCGCTGGCGCCGACTCGTGGTCGCGTCCACTCTGGGCGAGTCTATATTGCATTAGGGAACATAGAATGCTTTTACGTAGCCTCAGTGGTACATGTCTGAATTCCCCTGAATGATTTGCTTTGCGAGGCGTGATAATATGAAAGTAGTTTCCCTGGTCAGCCTGAGAATAGCCACAGTCAGCTGGCGTACAAGTGATAATATGATAAATGCGATTAATCCACCGATAATTACTATATTGGGGTAGCCATTTTGAACACTGATTGAAACCAAATAAAGCTAAAGCAACAAGTTGAGAAACAGTTGCCTACAAATCGGTGAGAAAATAAATTTTCACATCCAACCGATTCGTTGGGGTAACATTAAACCAACCGCTAATAAAATTTGATTTTATTCACCGTTTTTGCATGGACAATCCCTTGTATACGAACACATCATTACACAAAGAAAATAGAACACTTTCCCTTGTATATTTGAAAGCGAAATCGCCATCCAACTAAAGTATGACGACCCCCTAGTGTTATATAGATTCACCCAGAGTGGGCGTGACCACAGAACGGCGCCAGCGAGATTCGAAAGCCAACCAAAGCAGTTAGTCAATTTGCTAGCAAGTTTGCAAATTGGCTGCCCCAATACTTCTGAGACTTGCTGTAAGGTGGCCTGAGCCTTTGGTCAATGCAAAGCTACTTACAAGAGTGTGTCTGATTGGCTACCCAACTCTAAAACCTAAAAGTCTGACCAATCAGAAAGCGGCTCATTTGTCAACAATTTATTTCAACATTTCAAATTCTCACTTGTATATATACTTTGACTCAACTGCGAGTCTCTTCCTACATCAAATTTTAATCAGATTGCATATACACATAAAGCCAAAACAAGATTTACTTGGTGTATAAACACAACCTAGTAAAGCATAACATAAACCCCTAGGCACAGACAATCACTATTCCACAAGGATGCACAACGACATGCATAGAATGTACAGTATATACCGTATTTGTCTTCAGTTAAGCGCCACCTTCAATTAGGCGCCAGTGCTACGAAAATATCATATTTTACACCCCAATTAAGCGTCAGACTAAGTTGAAATTTTGCCACATAATGATCGTGAATTGCAGCCGGCGGATCCACTACAGGTTAGTAGCGATAGACGCGATCGCGGAAGTCCCTCACTGTTACTGTATGATGGGCTTTCATGCAAAAAATTTGGTTTTGTTTCTAGCAATTTGTAAGAAATCGGTCTATAATCTCTATGTCTCTTTGGTTTACTGTAGAAGTAGCAAATATCCGCGTGGTTTTTAATTTAGCGAATTTCGCAGTAAGTCCATAAACACGAATTTAAAACTAAGTGAAAATGTTCCGTTGCAAATGAGCTGTTATCACAGTAAACAGTTTTAAAATATTCTTTAAATGCTCAGTTAACTTTCCAAAAATAGCTAATTTCTTGATTGAAAAAAAAAAATCATGCCGTTTTCCCACTAAAATCAAAGCCAGACCATACAAAGATCTTTTGATCACAAACATCGGCAAATCTCTGCCGCGTTGCGTTCATACATTATTTAAATGAGCTATGGTAATTTGATCACATTGGCAACATCCAGCATTTTGATTGGATGATTAACGACTTGACCTATCAGGTAAAAAAACACGTTTCAGGTAAACTGGACACAGGAAGCATGGCGGATATCGTATCGCATCAAACATTTACATGCGACCAGAATCATTCGCTTACGATGAAATTAAGTTGAATTTTACTTGCATTGACATTTTTGTACGTTATTATAATTACCACGAAGTAATAATCGTAACTGTGGAATGCAGCATGACCGGATTTCGTTATTGTGATCATTTACTACTAAGCGATGTATTTGTGTTTGTTTTATTTTTCTGTTGATCGTACGGCGAAATGTGAATGTTTTCTAAAGAATGATACTTTTGTATAATTTTCTAGATTGTCTGAAAACAGATCATTTACTTAGTATTTAAATAAAGGCTACAGTGACTAAGCGTCAGACTGTAATGTAAAATATTGCCAAGAATGGAGCAAGAACAATGACTTGATGAAACACAGTTATCGGTACTAGAACTTGAAGTGCTTGAAATAAGCGCCATTTGAAACAAAGTTGCCCAAATTTAACCACAAATAAGCGCTACCACGAAATGAAAGTGTAACAAAGTGGCACCTAATTGAAGACAAATACGGTACATGCAATATATCACTACATACTTGAATATGAGGAAATATTAAATCCACTCACCGAATCTGCCACCAACAGCACTGAAAGAAAAAATAGGAAGAACAATGAATAACCTTTGACCCATACATGTAGTATATTTTTTGTACCCACAATGCATCTAGCTGACTAGGTTTGCTGAGATGTTAACCTCCACATGAACAAGTAACCCCCCCCCCCGCCTTATTTGGACTAGATTTAACACAAAATGGAACAACATCAGCGCAAGTCATTGCGAGTTTCTTCAAATCCCTTTTTAAAATTTCTAGTTCCATGTTCAAATGGAAGCATAGACTATTCATGTTGACATGTATATGTAATGCAAGCATACCTGGATATACAAACTAATTTCAGCTTGAAACTTTATTAGTATTGTACTGAAGTTGGTTTTAAAGACATCACACAATAAAAGGCTGTTCAGCATCAGAATCAGCATTGTTCCATTACCAATATTTAGATATAAACTAAGGGGTGTTAAAGTTGCCTTTCCAATTTGTCTTACCATGATCATCATGAAAAATGAGGAAATCAGTTGCTATGACAACAAATCACTAAATATGGGAGCTTTTAAGCTAGTCTGAACTGAAGGTTGTGGTGTCTAATTAATAAGTCAAACAATTTCAATTACTATTTTGCATGCACGCTTTGTTTTCAGGAGAGGCTTGATTGGATTTCAGGATTCTGGTTGATACAATTACTGTGCAAAACACAAAGCCCTTACAATGCTCACAGGGGTCAATCAGAGATATGTGTTCTGTAGACCATACAAAGTGGGAAATTTAATTTTAACGTAGATGATTGTGACAATAGCAAACAGCAGTTACTTACTCATTTGTAGAGGTGATCTCTTCGGTCACATGTCTCGTGTGGAGCATACCATCTTTTTTCTGTTGAAAAAAAAAAATAATCAAGAGTTAAGTCTCAGTAAAGTCTCAGTAAAGAGCACAACAAAGTTTTATTATGCAGTTCAAAGGATGTAGCTAGAAAGTTTATACTACTGGTATTAAAAAGTCATAGACATGACAGTCACAATAATAAACAAGCAGCCTGTCGTCTGTGATAACTCCACTGTTAGCAATGCACATTTCACTTAAAGAACTGAAGACATCATTAGACAAGAGTTGGCAGAGCCATCTCGATGCTGGGAAAATAAGAGTATTTAAAGGTGTGTTTTGGAGAAAGGGATTGGCGACCAGGCAGAAAAGCAATTTCAAAGACTTTGACTTTGTTTTAATGAAAACTTGAAGTATACATGAGGGTACCCGGTACATGTTATTATTTATGTATTTTGGAAACTCAATTTTTAACTGAAGAAATTAAACTAAATTACCGGTAAACAATCATGATTGTTTATTTTGAACCTCAGAAATGACTACTGTTCAACTCGGGACGTAATTAGCGCATGTTACTATGACAATCAACCAATTCGAGAAAAACAGTTGACAATCACTAAATTCATGGCCACAGCCAAATCGCTGTTTAATTGAAATAACAGAATTAAAGAAAACAGAGAACTCTAAGACAGGAAAAGAAACACGAGCGATGTAGTCGATCAACAGGCATTACGGCAGCCATGTTTGTTTCACCTCGTTCAATACAGTATTACCCACGATGCAGAATTCCCATAAGCGTGGGTATGTGGAAGTTCATAGCCAAGCGTACTGCGGTCAAGAACAAGGTAAGAAATTATGTGACGAGACCATCCTGATTTGCAGTCGATTTCCGGGTTCGGATGCGCTTCATACAAGAAGATCGATACGCACTACACCGCCGAGTGTAGTGGACATAATCCCAATGGCAATAGGAAGTTCGAAGGAAGCTAATATAGTTGATTTATAACAGACACATGATTGGAAATCACTTTTCAGTCCTCGTTGAGGCACAAACTTATTTAAATAAGTTGATAAACAAGAGACGATGGCAACTCCACGTTGTGGCAGATTTACACACTACTACAGTTTGATTAAAATTTACAAACACCACTGTCAGTCACACAGAGTACCCCAAATTCAAAAGAGATTTTTAAATGCGCTGGGGAACACGAGACGAACAATTGTGCATACTTAGATGACAACGTTATGACGCAGTGAAAATTGCAATTTAAAACTTTGCTTGCAGATTTTTCCAGGGCAGATTCACATAATACTACAGTTCGATAACAAAAAATCCATCAAAAGGGAACTGCAAGTTGTATAATGCCAAAACAGTACCATGATTTCACAACTTTCGAAATAAGTTTGCTTTTGTCGATGTCCAATGTACACGAGCAAATGTCTTCCCGTTCGCAAGAACACAGAGCCTAAACTATCAGAAATTCGTAACACATAATTCGAGTGATGGTATAAACACAATAACATATCATTTGTAAATTCAATCCATCGAAAAAGTATACAAAACATTTTCATAAACAATTTTTGTTTTATAAGTACACTTTGAAAAGAAACAAAATTCATAAACATAAATCTACTTGTATACATTCTCACCACAAATTACACAATACTTATTTTTTTAATGGAGCTTCTTCACAGCACAAACTATTGGAATCATGCACACGTGTGAGTACTTCAGTGACATTTTATAGCTACGCCCAAAATAGTCCATCATTTATTGCGCAACTGTGACCAAACGACATCATTCTGTTAACATCCACACATTTTTATAAAATCTCCATGCACTTTTTGACCTTTCATAAGTAAAATACACTACAATTTACTCCAGAAAAACAATTTTCTTGGTACATTCCTACATTCTTGCATACTAATGAGGGGTTCAGACACATTCCAAGCTGAACAATTTTCTTGGACTAATAACAAAGCTGGTCAATCCTTTCCCAGCAAAAATGAACAATATGTATAGTATCAAAGCAATCAGACTTGCTGTTTTTAACAAGAATTCAAAAATCCGTCTTTTTACCAAAAATATTCATCAAAATAGATAATTGAAAACATCATATCACGAAATGAACAAATCTGAGCGAGGTTTACCTGAGGTACCTATGTATAGTATCAAAACAATCAGACAAAGCAATTGCAAAGTTGACGACAGACTACATACAATAGACGCCAGACAATCAGTAATATGAATAATCCACTGGGCAATGTTGCAGCAAACAGGGTTCGTACACCCCAGAGATGATAAAATTCCATGCTATTCCAGGCCCAATATTGATGAAAATCCAGGCTATTCCAGGCCAATTTTGTAGGGAAATATAGTCGATATAAAGCATTTCAGTGGAATACTCATTTAAGTTTAACCCAAAGTCAATACCGACATTCTTTATTATATACACACAGAGTAAATACTACAATATAAACTTTATCAAATTTATTTATGACCAGGAAACATAAATAATGAGCGAAACAAACTGCAAGTTTTGACATTCCCAATTAATATCATAGTAGTGAATGTAACTGGACAGTTATGGTGTGTCAACCATGTTACTATTACATCAGCCAA